TTTTTTTTTATTATTGTCATTAGTGATTATCTCAATTTCGGCTAAAAGAATTGACAAAATCCTACACACTGTGCCTTTTGAATATGAAAAAGAGGAATTAACTTTCATAGCCTCTAAAATCACTTTTATTGCTTTGCCTCAAATGCACTACAGCAGGAGTATTCAATTAAGTCACTGAGGTACAGTTGCTWAACTTTCCACCTAGTAAAAGGTCCAGACAAAAGTCCAACTTTTGTCTTTTGTGGTCTTGATCTGATATGTTCATATTTTCACTATTAACAAACGGCACTTTATGGTAAACAACTTTTTATTTTACCATATTTAAAAGTAGTCCCAGGCAAATAATTTTAAAACCTTTATTTCAGAAAATAGAAACCTCAGAACAAAGTATGGTACATTTTAGAAGTGCAAACAGAGCCTAATAACCTTTTTTTTGCTTTTATATTGAAGCCTAGTCAAACCTAGAGAGATGGAGGCTTTCAGTTCAAGTGCAAGTTGCTCGGACTTCAGCGGATAACTTTTCTCAAAAGAGCTGTGCTTCGTTTCATAATGGTGCTTCACATTGGCACTTTTAATTAATGCAACCGTTTCAGAGCAAATGAGACAAACAGGTTTTGAACTGCCTGCTGGAAGAATGAACTTAAATTTCTCTGTCCATTCATCTTTAAAACAGCGGTTTTCTGCATCAACTTTTCTTATCTTGGAGCAAGCCATGTTGTCACCTCTTCTCTTCTCTGGTTAGCTCACTGCATTGGTCATGCAGGGTAAACAAACGATTTGATTGGCTCAACACTGTTACCATAATAACTGTAGTAGACGTAACCTCTAAACCTCCTAACTGCATCTCTGCTGGGCTTTCGCTGGGCAAAAATGCTCCATGAATATTATATAATTTTGTCAATTTATCAGATAGGGCACGGGTCCGGACAGAACCAACACTTGGTCCGGATTCGGACCTAGGTCCGCCATTTGGTGATGCCTGCACTACAGGTTCCTTGGAAGTAAAAAAAAAAAACATTTGAAGGGTACTGGCTGGTTTTTTTTAATATAATAACTCATAACATCGTAAAATGAAGACAAACACAGTGTCTGGATACAGTTTGTGCTGGTCCAACAAACTGGTATGGGATGAAATGTGACGCCACCTGTTGTTTTTCTCTGAGCTTCAAACTGAAATCCTGACAGAGTTGTAGCAGGGTGTTAGAGTCTGTGTTGAGAAGGACTCTCAGCTACTACCGTATTGAATTTAATCTCAATATCTGTAAAAAGGACTGAGTTGCAGCTTCTTTTTTTGTGCTGGCTAATGTTCATTAGCTGTGGTGGCCAACTTAAATGTGATTGACTTTAAAAGTTATTCAGTTATACATGTATATTAGAGATCGACCCATAAAGGTTTTTGAAGGCCGATACCGATTTCTTTGACATCAGTGTAACCCAGGGGTCTGCAACCTGCGGCTCTGGGGCCACATGTGGCTCTTTGGTCCCTCTGCAGTGGCTCTTTAAAAATAGAATAGCTTTTAGTTTTTATACCCACGACTGAAATCAATTTGTATGCAATAGGGCTGCTACGATTAATCGACGACTAATCGATTATTAAAATAATCGATGACTAATTTAATAATCGATTAG